ATTTCTAGTAAATACATCATTCATGGAGTCTTTCCTTCTTATAAAAAAAGAGTACATTATTTTATTTTACTTCACTTCACATATTCCACAAGAATTGATTACCGTATCAAAAAAACTCACTACCATCCAGTCAACACTGACTCATAACAACTCTGTAGGACCAACAAGAACCGCCTCTTTGTGTTTTCAAGGCTGTAAATCTTTCCAGGCATAGAAAGCCTCCCCTTCTTGTACAGAGTAGCTGGTGGGTTGAAAAGGCTGACCTTATCGCTAGCAGAATGCTACATAGCCCACTGCGCCACCAAGGCCACTTTGATCTCTTTCATCAAAAGTACATATTAAAGTCTGTGCAACATCAATATCGTGTTTTTTAATATTTCTTTTGCTATCATTTTAGCTCTTAAAACAATCCCTACATAAACTGTGTTAAGAACATTTGTGGATGTGTTGCCATCATTTTCACAAAGTGACAGACTTTCTAATATTAGATTACTTGTTTATATTAAAATAACTCATAATTACTATTTTAGAAACTACACAGCTTGATTTGATTTGATTTACATGGATCCATCTGCTTATATATGCAATGAAAGCTGTTTTATCATTCTACATCTTTATTATACAGTTGTAATTGTCAGATTTATATTATTTTAAAAAAATAAATGAGGAGGCTGAATATTTTTTACAATGCATTCACATACATTTTATTAATTGGGAAGTATTTGAATTTTTAGAATTTAGAAAATTGTGAAATCATCCATAAACAACATAATTTTATTATTAGTTATTTGTCAAATTATATGATTTTTAACTTCTTAAATGTTTAATGCTCATTGAATCAATTTTGATAAATTTTATTTCCCAAATTCTAATTAAGAATTATTTCAATTGAAAGCACTTCTATAAACCTTGACTTTCAAAAACAAAAGTACTTCTGCAATCTTTTATGTTCAAAAATGTTGATTATTTAATGTCAACTACATCCAATCAACTATTTCCATGATTTGAGTTAAAACAAAATAAGATAAAAATAAACACATTTTCACAGACAAAACATTCACAAACTATAAGCTGAACTAAAATTAGCCTGATTAGAAGTCTGACATATAAGAAACGTTGAATGCAAAAATGCAAAAGTAAATATTTACGTAAAGCAAGATAAACATTCATTTCAAAAACAAACAAAAAAGAGTCTCTATTTATGTGAGAAAAGCAGGATTTACCACAAATACTACAAAAGTAACACCATATGAGACTAGGGTACTTAAAGCTGAGAAAAATAAATCATTCAAAAAACGACAAGTGTTATATGACCTCACTACCATAAAAAGTAAAGAATTGATATACACACAGAGATCAGAGTTCTCTGATGGTTACCAGGAATCAGAAGGAGAGGAAGAGAGAATTACTTCCTACATAGTAGACATTTGCGATTTTGGGTGATGGAGTATGGGTGAAGTCAGCACAACTTGATACTAAGATGTACAAAAGAAGAGACCATTTCTTTAAGTACTACAATATACACAATTCTGCAACAATCATGAAAACAATAAGCAATGTGTGTGGTTACATAGACAATTATGGATAAATATATGTAGATAGGAAGGCATATGTATATGTATAAATATATGTATAAAGGGACTTGCAACAATGGTGTATCTCTAGGCATAGATGTATGTGTATGTGTGTGTGTTTAGCAGATACATCTACACATATCATATCATAAAGGGCATAGTTAACAGAGGCTTCCTAGATAGATCCATACAAAAGTTGAAATTGTTATACTGGATTACAAGGTTTGGGACAATAGGTGCAGGGGACAACTTAGTCAACTGGTATAACAAAATCGTTCTACATCCTAGTTTGGTGAGCACTGTACAGAGTCATAAAAGTTTGCCAGCAGCTTTGGTGCAGTGAATTACTTAATTTGGCTCTTGTAGTCATAGTCTTTGTAACTTCCACTAACGAACTGGTTGTGACCTCACAAATGACACATTTTTCTTCTTTTTATTTCGATGGGTCTGGGTATGAGGAAGCACAGGAAGATGTTGATAGGATTTTACATTTCAGTGAGTGATTGTTAGCAGGGTTAATTGTCGACATAGATATTTGGGACTCTAGCATGTGGGCTGCTCAGTTTTGCTATTGTGCTAAGTATAAAGCAAACCATCTCAGAAGTAGGAAAGGAGGATCATACTATTATCAAGAAAGAATTCCGGAATGGAGCAAGTGCTTCCATCGCCAAGATCCCTGTGCATTAAAGTCCTGAATGTGTGATACAGAAAGTTGTGATATCAGAGGAGCAGTAGGGGTCAGCAGCAGAGTCAAAACATGACACAGCTGAGCTTCCTAGCCCAAGGCGTGAGGAAATATGAGAGCCATTTAGGGAGGGGATCGCATTTGGCTGCTAATCTCAAGCATAGCAGTTTGAAATCACCAGCTGCTCTAAGACAGAAAGTTGAGGCTTTCCACTCCTGTAAAGTGAAACCCACAGAGACAGTTCTACCCTATGGGTCCCTCTGAGTCTGAATGGACTGAATGGCAGGGAGTTTGAGAATGCGCTTTTTAATCAAGATAACGAGGCTTATGTGAAGTTCCCTTTGGGTAATATCAGGAATGCAACATGACCAGAGCAGGACAGAGACAAGGAGAAGTGGTCACAGTCACTGCAGGGGTAAGGGTTCCTTAAAGAAGAACTGTATCCTGAACATTTCTGAGCCTGAATTGTAATCTGTTAACTTCCCTAGTAAAGCCTGTGAGTTCTGTGTGGCCATTGCCGGGAATTTTGCACCCAGCAGTGACACAGAGAGTGCTGTGAGGGAGAGCTGTTTTCAAAACTGTTAAGACAGTTGTAAGGTGGAAATATGTCTGACCTCTGCTTTATGCAAATCAGCCTTTGGCTGATGTGGAGTTAAATGATCCTTCTCTCGTATGAAGCCAAAGGAGGTCAGCGATTGCTGCCACACCCCTTTTTACAGTGACCATCTGTGATACAATTGTGTATGTGTATGAAGCAAAAGAGAAAGGAGGATATAAAAGGTTCAAAGAGGATGACCCATGGGATATAATCCACATGGCCTCTGGACCACGGCCTCTTTTAACCTGAGAGTAGCATATCCAGAGGAGCCCTGGTGGTGTAGAATCTTCTACCTTGGCCTGCTAACTTCAAGGTCAGCAGTTCAAACCTACCAGCAGCTCCTGAGGAAAAAAATAAGTTTTCTACCCAATGAAGGTTAAGTCTGAAAAAGGAAGTTCTACCTTTTCTAGTGAGGTTGCTATGAGTCAGAATTGACTTGATGACAGTGAACTTGGTTTGGTGTTAGAGATGACCCAGAGACCACCAACAACCACTCTAATCAGGATGATAATGGAAGGTACTGGAGAGAATCGGAAGGAGAAAAGGGGACGCTGAAACTCAAAGCCCTAGAACAGACAACAGCTGCTAAATTGAGAGGGGCTAACCCCGGATGTCACAGCAAGATGAGTGGGGGATTGAGGCTATTTCTTCTGGTCACCTTGCAGGCAAATAGTATATTGACTGATAAAAGAAACATTGTGTTCTCTTTGAAAAAATAAGTATAAGACATTAAATGGGCAGCATTGACAGTAAAGCAATAATAAGAAGGGAAGAGGGGAGAGAAATCTGGTCCATGAAAACAGAATAAAAAGTGGAACCAACCATGCCAACTCATTGTACAAATCCTAACTGCAGGCACAATACAATCTGCATAAAAGGCTGCTAAAGGGAAATCTAGCTTGCTCTGTAATTGTCACTTAACCACAAAACAAGATTACTGTCTTAAAATGCTGTTGGGTAAGAGAAAAACTTGCAATTGCTATGTGAAGAACTAGATACATATTAAAGTGCTTAGTATATATTATATACTACATATTAAACTAGTAACTTTCATATGTAATAGTTATTTATGCTACACGATTTTTCATTCAAACGGTTTTCATTATGACTATTACAACACCCAGAACCCCTTCATCTCCACAGTGACATCCAAGCATTAGGTCTATCAAACCTCTGCAACTGCCATCACACTCTCCCCATAGACAATTAAAGTGTTCAATTCAATAGTTGAAGGCATAAGACAAAATAACATCATATTTTAATATAAATGACACACACGTTTTGTTTTTGCTGGTGACCCACTTCCTCTTCAATGGTGGTAGTTTTTAAAATGTATGTTTTTTCTACATGTGAAAAAAATGGTGGGGGGCTATGTCTAGTACCATTTATGAAAACTGTCTCGCAGGGAAAAAAGCAGTCAGCAAACATGCAGAAGGTACATGTAGTTTGTGTTAATATAGTAACAAATACGAGAAAATAAAGATTAATATTAATACAATCTTGGGATTAAAATACCAATTTTTAACATTCAAGAAAGAATGCAGAAATTTATAGTCCTTAATAATTTGAATTCTATAATAGAAGAGCAAATATGGTAAAGAATTGGATGTCTCACTTTTCAGCCCTTATGTGTTTTATTATATTTTCTTTCTTGAATATGCTAAGATTTCTACCATAATGTGATCATAATGAACAGCCTTGCTTTTTAACCTATCTAAAAAAATACAAAGAGAATTTCACACACAAAAAGTTATTTGCTATATTTTTTATTATCCCCTTCCTCAGATTCAAGAATCACTTTTCTATTCCCATTTACAAACATTCTTAATGTTCTTAAATAATAAACATGTTGATTCTTTGATAGTCAACTAATCTCTTAGTATGGTAAATGATATTAATTAATTTTCTAATATAAACTAGTCTTGAATTCTTAGACTAAAAAACATTTCTTAATATGATAAATATATAGATATGTATGTATTACTTATACACACACAACTTCCTTTTTAAGTTTTCTGAGCTTTTAAGTCTTTTATTTGAACATTGAATAATATTTTTTAAATAAAGGAAACTGTATTTAAGATATAAGTGAACCTTTGCACTTAAAGTAGATTCAGATGGAATTCTTGATGTTATAAACTACCTTCTCCCCTGGGGTCACAGAGACTCTCCAGATGCAGTGTGTATAGGAAGGGTAGCCATTTGGAAATCCTGGTGAGGAAAGATTGCCATTGGATTCTTGTAGAGTTTCTCCACATGCTAAAATGGGGGCGGGGGGGAAAAAGATACATATGTAAGTTCAAAAGTACCCATATTTCATGAAATATTTTGAGTAAGTTCTGACTACTAGCCACTTTAAGTCTTTATAGGAACAGAGAGACCTTCATTTTTCTCCCTTGGAGGAGCCAGTGGGTTTAAATCATCAACCTGGTGATTTGTAGTCCAGTGCTTACTCAGCAATGCTACCAGGGCTCAAAAAACATAATAAATAAGGGCTTTGGTTTTCTGCGTCTTTTTGTTTGTTTTAGACAAGAATACATATTTAGATTGAATTGAGGATTTTTCCTCTTTCATTTAAAGTAAATTTATGTTTTCTGTCTAATATCAACCTCCTCAATGGCATCATTATGGTGAAATAAAAATCAAGATAATGATATGAATAAGTTACCATTCTAGAGTACTGGATGGTGCAAATAATTAAGTTTCCAAAAGGCCTCAATCTTGAAAACGTTATTCATCACAGTTGTACATGGAGCTACCAGCTGATTCTAATAAGGAGTTAAAGTTTGCTTGATTTTAACCTGGAATTAAAAAACACTTGGTCCTCCTGGAAATCATTTCTATTAGTTCCCAAAGAGCCTGAGGTTAACTCAGAGGTCACTCATTAATGGAACTCTAGTGGCGTTGGGTTGCTAACTGCAAGGGAGGAGGGTCACACCCATTACTAGCTCTGTGGGAGAAAGGTGAGTCTCTCTGTTACAATCTGGGAAACCCAATATAGGGTTGTTCTGACTCAGAATTAGCATGATGGCAGTGGCTTAGATTTTTTAATTCTTCTTATTAAATTCTTTTATTGGGGGCTCTTACATCTCTTATCACAATCCACACATTCATCCATCATGAACATTTGTAGATACATTGCCATCATCATTTTCAAAGTGCTTTCTTTCTACTCAAGCCCTTGATAGCAGCCTCTCATTTCCCCCCTTCTTCCCTCACCCTCCCTCCTTCATGAACCCTTGATAAGTTATAGATTATTATTATTGTCATATCTTACATCATCCTCTGTCACCCTTCACCCACTTTTCCGCTGTTTGTTCCCCTGGGAGGGGGTTATGTGTTGATACTTGTGATCGATTCCCCCTTTCTCCCCACACCTCTTCCCCTTATCCTCCTGGTATCTCTATTCTCATTGTTGGCGCTGAGGGGTTTATCTAGCCTGGATTCCCTATGTTGCGGACTCTTATAGGTAGCAGTGTGTATATTCTGGTCTAATCCGATTTGTAAGGTAGAATGGAGGTCATGATAGTGCGTGTGTGTTGGGGGGTGGGGCGGGCAGAGCATTAAAGAACTAAAGGAAAGTTGTATGATTCATCGGTGCAGGTTCAGGTCAATGATAACTAGCCGATATGGCTCTGGGACTACATGAAACATTCCATTAATACATTTAATGTAAATTGAGGATAAATTGAGTCATATTAAGCAATGAAAATCGACAATGAGTAGTTTTAAAAAGGCATACCATAATGTTATAATGAATTTTATTCTCAAAATAAGTCCCCTTCCCTGAGCCTAAATAAATAGATAAATAGATAAACACATAAATAAATAAATAAAACATCATGAAAGAGTCAAGTTTTTAAACAAGATGTACACATTTATTAACTCTATTTTCTATTGGTCATACACAGACATTGCTAAAAATATTATCTCCCTTTCCCCCCACCCCGGAGGATAGTGGAAATTGTAATGTACTAATTTTGCTCTTGGTTCAGCTGAGGCTGGAAGTCAGAACAATTCTAAAATGGTTTTCTTGTTGTTTCTGCAAAATGTACTATGAACCAAACCTGCTTGCAGTATCCTTAACTCAACAATAAGTCCATCAGGATCTTTATAACCTTTACTGAAGAACAGCTACTTTTGAAGGAGACAACAATGAGATATAACTATTACAGAGCTACCAATAGGTAAACTCAATAGGCAAACTCTCATCTCATCAAATCCAAAATAAATTATGCATGGTTCTGCACACTTGAGGTAAAGGAAGAGAGATAGGTGATGACTTTGAAAACAAAATAGCCATATAAAAATCTGGTATAACGTATTTATTTAGTACCGCAGGTAATATATTTGCACAACAAAATAAACTTAAGATAGGATTAAACAATACTTATTTGGATGATCTGCACACAAAAGCTAATTTAGAACAAAAAATTCTCAATGTCAAAATATATTATTTGGCACTGTTCTATGAATCATCAAAGGAACTTGGTAATTATAACATCTATAAGAAGCCATAAGAAAACTAATATTTGTTAAAATTTTATTTATTAATGCATTGAATAAGCTTCTAAGCATTAGGGAGCTGTCTGTTTCCATGAAATATAATTCATAAGTTTAAAAGTAATTTTGATAAGGATTAAAATTATTACTATGCAGTAGAGAATGCTTTTACTAAAATTCCTAAAGTGAAATAAAAATATTAAAATACATTTAATTTACAAATTCATACACATACATTTTATTTCTTAAAGGTCCTCTAAACTAAACATAAAACAGAATATAGCATGTAATCCCAAAATTAAATAAATCCATAACATGGCAATTGCCTATAATGAAAAAAGTGCAGACACCTAAATAATAACGTTGTGATAATTGATTGGAAATTTTATTCAAACAATTATAATAGTTCCAGGGTAACTGGCCTCCACTCTTCAAGATGTTTCATCACTATTTCTGATCAGTTGATGGTTTCTGCTCAGATATTGCAAACTAAATTACAAACTCAAAGAGTAAGTGGAAAACCAGCAGGGATATAAAACAAAACAAAAAACACACTGCCATAGAATCTATTCACACTCAAGAAATCCTATGTAGGATTTCTGAGGCTGTAAATCTTTAAGGGAGCAAGCAGTCTCATCTTGATCCTGTGGAGCTATTGGTGGGCTAGAAATACGAAACTTGCAGTTAGCAGTGCAATGCTCACTCACAACACTAAGAGGACGCCTGGGCAAAGGGAAGGTAGCACAAGTACAAATGGCAGATCTACATGCACAGTTGATGTGTGAACTTAACAAAGTATGTGAGATAAGAAGAAACATGTTTGAAACCTTGCATTGCTAATTATCAATTAGGTCACCAAAGCAATCCTTGGATATTTCAATCTCAGCTCTCACTTCTTCCAAATGGCTACTTTATAAAAATGTAATTCATATATATTGGTTTACAATGATATTTTATGCATGAGAGAGTTTTATTTAAATTATTTAATGGTGTTTCTGTGCCTTCTAATTTTTATTTTAATTTATTAGTGAGTTAGTTCACTGTGCCAACCTGGCCGATAAACACATGGGGGGTTAATTGAAAGTTGGAGGGATAAATGGCTTGGTGAGCCTCGCCTTTCAAGTTCTGTGGTCTCTTGCTTTCTAGTCGGACCAGGGTGTATCTCCCTTAGCAGTTCCCTGGTTCAGCTTGCAAGGCTGACTTCCTTCAAAACATCACCAAGGAGAAGCCCCATGAACCTACCCTGATGCAACCCTGGATGCTGGAGCAGCATGGGGAGACCCCTGCAAGTGCTGAGATGCTTACACATTCACTGACTGGCTTCCCCCCTGCAGTCGGCATCATTGCATCTGTTTTGTGAGAAGGAGGAGGACTTTGTGGATTGGTGTTGGACATATGGGTTAATGGGTTAATGTTGGACTTGTGGGCTTGGGCAGCGCTGGGTTGGGATTTTTTCTTGATGTGTACTTACTCTTTATATAAAACTCTCTCTTATACATCAGTTTCTGTGAATTTGTTTCTCTAAAGTACCCAGACTAACACAATTAGCTAATTATTTTATTAATACATTTTATACTTTTAATTTTTATTATTTTAATAATTTTATTAGCTATGTTTATTATTTGGCTAATCAGAGTCTTCTATGATTAGGAAGACTATTGTATTAATAGAATATGTCTTCAAAGTATATATACTTCTCCAGGCACACCTAGGAAAGAAGAGACGTACAGAAAAATTTCTCTAAAGCAAGAAAGGCTGTGTCCTCTGTATGTCACAGATTGTTAATGAGTCTTCCTCTGATCCTTAGAACAAATGCTTCTTCAAATAGTACAGCTTTTTGGATTATTTTCCCAGTATACCAGGGGATACCCAAAAAGATAACGGAATCACTCTGGGCTAAGTAGAGCTTTCTTTGTATGTATTTGTCCCACTAGGCAAGCATTGAGCAACTTGCTCTGAGTTAGTGCACCAGTGGGTTTGCCTGGGAAGGCTTTCTCTGGTCAGTGAATTTTTTCATAAAAGCAGTTTTGCTGGAACCTTGGTTTTTATGATGGCCAATTTAAGAGAACAGTGTACAGCTGTGAAATTTTGTTTCCTGCTCTGGGAAAATGGTGCAGAAACTATTGTGATGTTGAACTCAGATTATAAGGACAGTGCTAGCAGAAAAGTTCAGTGTTTGAGTGGCTTTCTCATTTTAAAAAAGGTGAAATGTCGACTGATGATGAACCACATTATGGACGTCCATCAACTTCCCAAATAGATGAAAATGTCTACTCATAGGGCATTTGGAGTTTATTCAAGTTATTTAGAGGTTCTGAAAAGATTATGTAACAATATGCAACCAAAAACGGCCTGATTTGTGGTAGATAGGAGACTGGTTTTGCCACCTGGCTGCACCTGCTCATGTAGCCATCTCAGTGTGGCCAGTTTTTGGCAAAACCGAGTATGCCTCTCTTGCCCCATGCACCTTATTCACCTGACCTCATTCTGTGTGATTCTTTTGGTTTCTGCAAATGAAGAGGTACATGAAAAGACAGCGATTTGATGGTGTGGAATTGGTGAAGACAAAAATGAAGGAGGTGCTGTCAGCTATTCCAACAGATGACTTTGAAAAGTGTTTCCATGAATGGAATCGCAGTTTTGACACATGTATTAAGTCCAATGGAAAGTACTTTGAAGGCAATAAGGTTGTTTTGTAAAAAAATTTAAATATACAACTTTGGAAAAAGAAATTCCAGGGTTTTAGGGTTTTTTTT